GATCCGGTCCGGATCCACCTGGAATCGGTACGGATCCAGTCTAAAACCCTGTTTCGCGATTTTCAGCATCAGAATGGGAATAGGACTCTTGGGAGCCGCCCTAGGGTTATAAAAAACACCTAGCCACGTCCTAGAACATCAGAGACCCTTAGAGAACACTTAGATACAGATTTTTGGAGAGCTTTTGGTGAGAGAAGAATAGAAGTTCACGGGATTTCGGGAAGAAGAAGGAAGATTCGATCGTGGAGACTACACATCTGCATGAGACTTTCTTTCCTCTCTTTTACCTCTTTCTTTATGAGCTTTTTGTTGTTTTCTATGAACCGTGAGTAGATCCACGGCTATGGGTTATGGATTCATATGTGTATTGGGTATGTTTGAACCCTAACTTGGATTTCGACGTTATGCTTGTTTCGGTTTATCGATCTATGCTTTCTTTTCTATTGGTGTTTGCTAATCACTTGGCTAATATTCTGAGATTCTGAATCACATAGAGATATGGGTTTAGTTTCGGATCGAGATTGATGAATGAATCGTATTATTCACATAGAGATATGGTTTAATCGATTTAGGGTTGATGATAGCGTTCTTCATGCATCTAGGGTTAACTTGAATAGATCGAGAGATTGACGAGTTATTCTAGGTAGTGAGTTAGTAGACCGAGAGGTGAATTCTCTATTCTTGTCGCTTGATGATTCCCGAATACAAGTACGATGTCGTTATTCTCGCATGATTAGTAAATACCCATACACGCGAATACGATCCCGATACCCGTAGTCATCCTTGTTTGATAGGTCACTCGTTTTCATTGCTTTCTTATTTCGTTTACCATAGATTTTACATATTTCTACAATCACTTGCTTGCTTGCTTTGATCTGTTTTCGATTTAGATTTGGATTTAGCAACCGGTCCTTGTGTTCGACCCCGTGTTACGACGATCCGTATCCTTGCGGTGAGTTGTGAATCGGGTTATAGATTTTAGACTCGGTGCACACGTATCACATTCCTAGACATATATGCACATATGCAACCTATTAGTAACAGTTCATGCAAGTATGTACAGAATGTAATACTCTCTTTTCTTTTCTTTTTTTTTTCAATGAATATGGAATGTATAAGTCTGTGTAAATGGTGTGAATGACGTGCAGGGCTCATGGATACGAGGTATGTTAGTCACTCCTCCCCCCAGACTTGAATTGAACACTGTCCGCAGTGTTAACTCTCGACTAGTGGGGAGTGTAGAAGGAGGAAATAGACAATGAGTCGAATGAAAAGAGTGAGTGTGTTACCTCTTCCGATGGAGTGATGTTCTGTTCCGACTTCTCCTTCTCGAGCGTCGTTATCCAATGAGTCCTACGCAATGTGAGAAAACTACAATGCTATGTGATGGGAATGCAAAGGGAGAGAGTGAGAGAGAGAGAGGACCGAGCGGATCCTCAGTAGGACCCGTGAGAGAAGTCGTTCGAGTCGGCATGTATGTGGTCGTCCTCTTCTTCGCTTTCTGTGCTGAGGTCTCGTTCGATGTCGAACCTTATGCCGTCTGCCGTCGGAGGGCGTAACACAAAGACAGACATGTTGAATGATCGGTACATGCCTTCGATACCCACGAATTTTCACAATATCCCGCCTTGTTGTTCTTTGGCTAGGCCGTTCTCCATGAGGTGGATGAAGTTGATTGTGTCCCCATGTATAGAGTCGCGTATGTATGGCCCGAGGTTGATTCCTATCCGCTCTGCAATCAAAGTAACTATTCCTCCGAAGCAAATTGAATCAAGGTCGGAAGAGAGTACCGAATGTATATGGAGGATCACTCTTGAGGCTATGTCGGCGACCTCAAGCCGATTGTACATCATGAAGTGAAGAGGGTCCATGAGTAGGTTGAGCTCTGTGATGGAGACGACCCTCGGGTTCTGATGAGGACATCGACCAAACAGGGACGATGATGAACAAATCCCGAACGAGAAGCAAGACGATGCCATAAACGCTATAGGAGGAGAAGAAGTAGACACCGAGCTTACCATGCCAACCATTCCCATACCTTCACTCACAAGACAAAGGACTCGAAGCCTACGTTCAAAGATCAATGCATATGTCGAAGAATGGCTGATCAAAACATCCGACAAGGGGCTATACAATGCAAAGGACAAGATAGCGGCAACAAGCACAAAATATCGCAATGTCTTGGTGTTTATGTTGTCCAACACTTAAGATTTCGTGAACTAATACCTGGACTACCAAGGAGATATTTGAAGATTGTATTCTCAATATATGGGCTGAAGATCCAAGCCCAAAGAACCCAAAAATATTCTACACAAGTCCAAGAAGATACCAACCCATTGGAGAGGATATGGTGCCACCTTTGAACCAAATTTCGGCCCACCTTTATCAAGCACGAATTGGGGAAGTTTTCTACATTATTTCAACCTCATGAAGACCTTCTTTAAGCCTTCTAGCCGTTGCAAGACGTTGGCCTTCCACTTCCACCAACTCTCCACTTGTTCCTTACTTTATGGTGTCTTGTTTTCCATGAACTTTCTTTAATGTTTTGTTAGCTCCTTCTTATGCACGAATTCTCTTGGCTTTCTTCTGTGTTTCAAGCCTATTTAAAGGCCTTTGTATGTCAAGAATGACCAGACTTTGAATTGATAAAAATCGAGTTGAATATTTGCTTCTTCTTCTTGGTGTATCCGAGAGCATCGCCTTCTGCACATGTGTGTGTGTGTCACCCTTGTGCAAGGTCAAACCGTGGTGGATTCAAGGTTGGTTTAGCTCCTTTGAATCCTCTTTCATACCCCTACCTTCCATCAAAATTTGGGAATTATCCGAGTGCCCTTTGGCTTGGAACTTCCCTTCCATCTATCACCTAAATCTAGTGCTTTCGAGTGCTCTGTTTTAGTTCGACTTGTAGGTTGATTTTGAAGGACTTTGAGTGCCTTTAGGCCTGGATATCCTCTTGAAATCTAACCGTAGGAATACCTTAGTGAGTCTCCAAGTGTCCCCTGGTTTTTATCTTGTTGTATTCGTTGTCCAAAAGGCAACATAAGACACGCACGTACAACCCACATTTCACCGAAAGAAACGAGTGAGACTTCTTTGGCTCCGTGCATGTATCATTTTTTGGTATTAGAGCTTGGTTCAAGGACCAAACTAAGGTAAAGTATCTCTCTTTGTGTTTTACATTCATTTTAATTAGATTTCACCGTTTTGCTTTGAAGAAAACCGAAAACCACAAAAACAGTCCCACCGGTGAAGAGGTAACACTACATCTCTTCCTCCTTTGTTTTGCTTTGTGTTTGTGCTCGTTTTGTGTTTCTTTTAATCAAAACTCTTTGAGAAAATCAAAATAAAAAAAAAGTAAGAATGACGGGAGAAGGAGAGACTAGCCATGCTGCATTAGCACAAATCCTACAAGACATACAAACTGCTGTATGAGATTCAAGTCATGACTCTGTCCATGTGACAAT